ACCCATGTTGATGGCGAAGCGCATGCGAAGATCAAGACTTTTGAAATCGAAGAACAAGAAGGTGATAACAACGTTATCACACTCGATGGTCCGAGCATCAATTAGCCCGATCGGTCTATATAATCAGTCAATCATTTTTCTAGCCCTCGCTTGATAATCGAATAAAAAACACACAATTCCATTCGAAAGAGGATTCAAAACTGATTCAGATTCCATGGGTTTGGCTATATGCATCGTTTGCGGTAATGCATAAAAATCCGATTAAAAATCACGCATTTTAATCGGGATATAAAATATATCTGGAACGGCTGTATTTAATGTTTTTTAAAAAGCTTTCGTTCTGGGAAAATTAATAGCTGATTACTGAAATCCAAAACCGCCATCGGATATATGAACAACTCATGGCAAATGTTGAGGTAACAACACTCACGAGGGAAGTCCACCAACTAGAAAACCGTCTGCGGGCCAAAATCCAGTGGGTCATAGGTTATTGACGGTCGTGAATCCGAATATCACCATGATACCGGCTACTGGGTCTTGCATGACCGTGGTTTTCCAGAAAATCTCCGGAACTTTTCTTAATAAGTCATGTTTGTAGCGCGCGAAATTCCGATTGAAATGAGACATCCCCAGCTCTACACCACCTTTCTTTGCAAAGTTATATCATTTTAGAGAAGAGCCCTAGATTCGTTTTTCCCTTTTCTTTCTATATCTCTGAACTGTCAATGAACATTTAGGGCTTTTCTTGTAAATTCTATAACTTTGCAAAGAAAGGTCGTGTAGAGCTGGGGATGTCTGATTTTAATCAGAATTTCACGCACTACAAACATGACTTATTAAGAAAAGTTTCAGAGATTTTCTAGAGTTTCTGGAAAACCAGGTCATGCAAGGCCTAGTAGCCGGTCTCATGGTGATATTCCGATTCAGGACCATCGATAACCTATGACCCACTGAATTTTGACCCGCAAACAATTTTCAAGTTGGTGAAGTTCCCTCGTCAGTTCAAGACAATATTGCAGCATCTTAGATTTAGTTTAAGGTAAGAAGCTTAAGTGTCCAGCTGTGAAAGGATTATAATGATTCATATTTTCTTTCCAAACTGATGGTAAGAACCAGCTGGGTCAGAAATAATTAGTCGTTGATGAAAAATCAGTTTTTCTGCCTGGCAACAATTAGAAAAAAAAAATTAGCGGAATTCAAGACGTGTACATATTGGATGACGGTGAATGTATTATATTGAAATGTATCGAATCGTTTGACGATAAACTATCAATAGCTATTTAATCTTAATGCCAGTGGCACGTCAAGATTAAATAGCTATTGATAGTTTATCGACAAACGGTTCGATACTTTTCAATATAATACCTTCACCGTCATCCAATATATACACGTCTTGAATTCCGCTAATTTTTTTTTTCTAGCCGCTTGCCAAGTTGCAGAAAAACTGATTTTTCATCAACAACTAATTTTTTCTGACCCTGCTGGTTCTTACCATCAATCATTGCACGAGAGAAGTAATGTGATATTTCATTTGCCATGCTGTGAAAAAACGAAGACTACCGCCGGTTCACAATTCTGATTAATTCAGGTTTGCTACTATTCATTTCAATGAATAGTGCACTCGGTTGTAAGTCGAATCACTCCAGAACGAAAGCAGCTGGAGACTTGCGGTTTTCAGCATTCGAAAGAGAGTCGTATTTTTTATATGAAAATGTCAAATTTGATTGGTCAAAATTGGCAAATCAGGAGAATTCTTGATGAACATTTTAAAAACAATATTCCGAAGGCATTACCATTGGATTTAGGATTTTGACATAATCATTCCATAGAGAAAATTGTTCTCTTTCGATCTGCGTAAGACCCTTCATTGATTTTCGAGATTTTTTAACCCTTCACCGAAGTAAAATCGCCGAACAAAGTGTATATTCAGAATCAGCATGCAACACTCCGTCGAGTGACATGTGTTTAATCTTCATTTGATGACTTTCATTTTTTCACCACGTACATGCCATGATCCACAGAGCGGTGTGATAGTTTAGTGACAAAAATGAAAAAAATCCAATGGTAAATGCCTTCGTACTAATTTTTAAGATGTTCATCAAGAATTCTCCTGATTCGTCAATTTTGATCAATCAAATTTGACATTTCCATATAAAAAATACGACTCTCTTTCGAATGCTGTTACAACCGAGTGCACTATTCATTGAAATGGATAGTAGTTATGAACACGTGAAAAGACCGTTCCTTCGAATTTTGCCACTCCACTTTCTTTTTCTTGATTACTATATGCACGTCAAGGGTGTAACCGGTATCAAAAATGCGATATCGGTACTGTTCATCGATATACAAACTTTATATCGGTACCGGTTGGTACCGGCTTATCTTGATCATATTTTGCCTAAATACAAATACTTTCTTGTTTTTCTTTACTGTGAACTTTATTTTATGCTATCAAAGAGCTAGATTAATCTTTTCACTTTGGTTATATATAGCTGATTTTTCACGCGCTTTCTTTTTACGACAACAGCAATCCAATTCATTCTGTTAAATTAAGAAGTTAATATAAGCTAACCAAGCTTTAGTAATTGGAATGAAATTTTAGTGGAAGAAATATGTCACAGATGAACTGAAATTACACGATGTTTTTCGAAAAAAAATCGTATCATACCACAAAATACCAGCAATATCGGTCGACCGATTATACTTCATACTAATGCCAGTATACCGGTGGGCGTTATAATTCGTACAGATACCGGTATACTGATACCGGCTGCACTACTGATGCACGTTGATTTCGTTTCTTTTGCAGCAGTTGTTTTCAAATCGCAAGCAAAACGAGCGACAAATGAAACTCCTGCATTCAAACTCTGGTTACTGTGTCAACAAGTTAAGCTAGTTAAAAGACCCTTACCTTTCAGTGTAGGATGAAGATAAAAAAAGTCCGATAACAAAAAAGAAAAGGTATAAGAGTTTTTCGTGTATTAAAGGAATGCAAAATGTTCTCTCGGTAGATTTTCATTCGTTTGTCGAAGAGAAATCGAATGTATATGTAACATAACATCGGTTTATGGTAAAAGAGTATATTTTGTTCTATCCTCGTCATACGTTGATACAATTCTTTCATGTACCCATGATCAGAGTCAAGTAGAACTGTCCATAAACACCGAAAAGCCAGCATCGAATACGACAATAGTTTGCCGAATAAGTATCTGAAAATCTGTGGTGTATTTTTGGAAGTTGATGAGCTGATGTCCTCTATCACTTCCGATTTATCACGTAGTGTTAAAGGACTTTGGACATGGTCATTGAAAACCTCACTAGACAAAGTTGGAGAATTTAAACGTCTTCATCCATGCCACATATTTGCTCACATTGAGGAATGCGTATAATTTGTACAAAATCAAAGAAAAAAAATATTAATTATTTCTGATACAGATGATGACGTAATTTTACAACTGCATAAGTTCTCACAAGTTACTTTGATATATTTATATCGTTCTACGGACAAATTATTA